TTTTTTTTATTTTATTTTTTTTATTTTTATATACTAATTGGATTCAGGTTGGGTATTAAACTGAACTTCATATATAAAGTCATTGTAGCTCAGGGTGTGTGTTTGGCGTTATTGTAATCCTTAAAGGTGAACTAAAACCCCAGGCTATTTTTATATTAAAGCACAAAGCAAAATAATAACAAAAAATAGGAAAATAGATAATATGTAATATATTAAATGACTGAATGTGGTGGTTGTGCATTTTTAAGGTGTGCAACCCATTTAAGGAGGACTTAGTCCTCCTGTTGTCACAGGTTTGAGTATTAACTACTGCCCCCCTTCAGTCCCTTTTCTTGTCAACCTAGTTTTAAAATAATATTAAAAAAGGTCACTATTGCCTAAATATATATAAATAAGAAAGCCACTTGTGGCTCCGCGGCTGCAGGTTTCAGACCCCTGAAACACATTAAAACTGTAATCCCGTCTCAATACAGTTGAAGGTTAAAGTGCAACATCTTAATTTTAAAATCACTCTAAAGGTCTAAAATTGAATTGGTCCAAAGACCCGATCAATTTTGGTTTTTGTGCGAGTGGATGTAATAATATCTATTCAATTTAGTGCTATATTCTTCAGTACAGGCAGTGGCACCAGTTCTGCAGGGGCAAGGGCCCCTATTGGCCCCTAACTGCCTAAGCTTTGCAGCCTCTGACACATTTTTTCCAGCCCATTGTGTTTATGGGACGTCATGTTTTGGTTTTCTGCCTCAAGCTACATTTTGCATATAGGCTGAAAAGTTCATTTTGGTTCTCCTCTGATCTAAGAGCCATCTTCCACTGACTTATTGTGTCTCCGACATGATTTCAGACTAATTGCAAAGTGGCAGGGTGTCCGAACTTTTCCGAGGCATTTTAAGATCTCTTAGATTCTTGCTAAAAATGTCCTTATTGGTCACAGAAGATCCATTTAACTATTTTATTGACTTTAAATTTCTGAATTACTAAAATTATAGGAAAGACTATGGTTTTCTCAGTGGGTTGTAATTTCAGGTGTGAACCAGTAAATGTGCCGTTATTAGTTTCCATAAATGTACCTTTTTGTGCAGCAAACTAATGATCTTATAAAGCTCAGCCCGCACCTATTTTATACATTTTTTGTTTAAGAGGTGACGAAAGTGAAAATTTCTCTTTAATGTGATACATCTGCATATATATATAGCAGTTTCGTACTGACAATTTCAGCATTATTGATGGATAAGAGTCCAAAATACAGACCAAATGAAAGCTTTTGTTGCACAGCAGGGACACAAGGGCATCACTTTATACAAACCTGTTAACTCCTGATGAATGGGGACAAGATTTAAGTAAATGTTTTACCTGGAACACATTTTTACAGGCTGAAATTAGACTATGCAAATGACTAAATCATGACAATTATCACACACAGAACACTGCTGCACCATCAGTAACCCTGCCAGCTCATACAGCCTATAAAGTCTCTATAAACTCCTTTAATTGGACTTTACTGTTTATCATTTTAACAAGCAGGTAATTACAGACACATTAAGGGTTTATGAACAACCACTTAGCGAATGTCTTGTTTTAAAGGCAGCAAATTTTCCTGGTTACCTCATACGAAACAGATGTGCTTGCCCTAAAATAAAGCAAAATCATGCTGTATACCTGAATTCCCTAATATCGACACAGCTCAGTGAACACAGCTTCCTGAAACATAAAAATTAACATCCAAGCTTTGACAGTCACTAATTTCAGATTAACACCAAACTCAAACATCCATCTATTCCAGTTATCAAATCAAACTTTGGTTTAAGTGAATTGTTTTTGGTTTTTTTGTCTGATTTGCAAAGATGCATGACTTTGACAGTTGTTGGCTTCATGAGTTTGCTGTTAAAGGACCTGAAGGTCGTCTGAGTAGGAGTCCAGAGTCTGTGGCTGAGGCGCCTGTCATCAGCTGCAGATTTAATGGCTGTCGACTCTCACTGGGAGAAAACCATCAATAAAACTGAGTGGTAAAAACCAGACAGTGAAGTAAACACCATCAATTACATCATGTTTAAAGAAAGAAGAGGAGCAGACATTTCTTTAATATTTTATATATGTCAGCATGTGTGTCTGTGGGAGGTGAAGCATGGTCAAAAAAGAAACTCAGCTTTTAGTTCAACGATTCAGCGTCAGGGTAACATGAGGACGTCCTCAATGTGCAACATATGTGATTGTTCTCTGCATGCTGAGAATCCTAATGTTTGATTTGATAAACTTTACATTACAAAACAACCTCAGCCACTGGCTGTGAATAATTACGGGATGAAATCAAAGTCATGTGTTTGGTGTCATCCTGTTAACCTGTGATTAATGCTTCCCCAGTCAGTCTCTGCTGCTGCTGCTCCACATCTGTCTGACAGCAGCTCAATGAGGTTCAGGTGCAATCTGTGTCTTCTGATCGCCATCTTGTGGCTGAATTGTGTACTGCTACGTCCTTTTGTTAATTTAAATTTCCAAATTTTTATTTGAAACATTGACTTTAATTTTTTTAGTATGTACCTTTAAATGATTTGGAGTTTTAATTTAACATTACCGGTAGTTAATAATGGTCAATTTGAGGATTTGAAAATTGTGCCTGAGCAGTAAATGTTCCAATTAGGCTTTTTTGTCAGCTAAAATCACCTTTTGATAATGAAAACATTTAAAAAGGTAAAATCATAAAAATAAAGGCTTAACAAAAACGTAGTTTATGTACAATAAATCTATAAAATGTATTTCGAACTGAGTAACTGAATTAAACTTTAAAATATTTTAATTTAGAGGCATCTGTTACTTTGTTTCTATAAATATTACTTTAAAATGAAAAAAAAAAAAACAATCTATAAATATTATATATATATTAGCTTTATTTCTTTTGACTGATCAGACATAAACGAGTGGGCTCTATGCTAAACGTAGAAATAGACGTATTCTATTTCAGCAGATAACTATAAACTTAATTTTCAGAAGTAAAAAAAATAAAATAAAAAGTTTAAGGCTGGATATACAGAAAAAGATGTGTAACAACATGAATAAAGGAAGAAAAAAGTAAAAGAACAGGGAAAAAAGTGATCTATTCTATAGAAGAGAATAACAGTACAGATTAAATTAAGACTTTCTAAATAAATTGCTTCCCAAGTCAGAATTCTTGTGTTCTTATTAGATTGCAGTATAAAAAATGGGTATATATTTGAATTTAAAAAGCTGCTTCAAAGGCTCCCGAAGCAACTTAACCTAAAGGTGTTCAGGTTTATGAATGTTCATAAATGGATATGAAAGGTAGCTTTTTTTGCCTTTTAAGTTATTTCATACTGGTACTCAGCAAATAAAATATTGAGCAAAATAAAAAAATAAAAAAACGTGATAGATCAGGACCTATCATTCATTAAAAGAATCAATGCGTGTTAAAATAATGAGAATAAAATAGTTGAAGGACCAGTTTTATTGACATCATTGCTCAAAAGGACTTCATACAAACCCTTTTAAACCCAGACTCCTCTTGTGACACCAACCCATTAAAAATAAAGAGGTCCTTTCTTCTTAATATCAGCTCCTTTTCTTCACAGCATAAATTTATGCCAAATGTAAAATGTTTCAGTATTTATAAAAAACAAAAACAGATTCATTCAGTTTTCTTTTAGACATATGTGCAGACAAAACAGTAAAGTCCAAATTTGAACAATCATTCATCCAGAAACCATAAGCAAACTAAAGGCTTCACAAACATTTAGAAGCAACAATAGAAAATTATTGTTTAACTTTGAAATATAGAAAAACAAATTATAATAGAAAAACGATTTTTCAGGAAATTATTCCATTTTGTCTGAACTTAAAAAAAGAGAAAATTCAAAATGATGTTCCTGGGATAATATCGAAATATTTTCAAAGGTTCAAAATCCCATTACCAATATGCAACAATAAACTATTTACATCAAAGCTGCACAAACTGAGACGCCCTTTAATTGCAGTATACAACCAAACATTTTTCATCATGCAGAGCGGACAGTTTAACTGATGACGTTATGGAGTGACGCAATAGTTGAATATTTTATTGCCAGAAAAAGAAAAAAACACAATGAAATTTTCTATGTAGACTTTAAATAAAGTCATTAAGAGAATCAGAAGTTCTGTGTTAGTCCCAGGTCATAAACTGCTTGAATATTGTCTTTCTTCCAGGCCCTAATCAGCTTTTCGTTACATTATCTTTAAGAAATAAAACAAGCCCAATTTTATGATTCCTATGTACAATCATAAAGAATATGCGTATAACATCAGTGCAGTTAACACTGGAGAGACAGAAGCTGGTTGGTCCTCACTGGACAGAACTTGTTAATATAAAAGAGTATATTTCATCACAAGAAAAACTTCACAGGTTTTTTCTTTTTTTTTTTACTTTTTGCTGTGAAAAGAGAAATATAAAAAATTGAAAATGTGACAAAATACAAACAAAATATCTACAATCATATTTACAGATATTAAATAACATAAAAAAAAACCATACATGATTAAAGTGACAGCTAATGTATGAAGCTGGGACGTCGAGTTCCAAAATTAGTTTAACCCAACCTCCCCAGAAAATATATTTATATATAAATTAGCAAATTAATATAAAAAAAAAAAATACCTTCAGCTGCATTTTCTAATCTTTTGAATTAAGTTTTTACATTTCAAGATGTAGAAATATATTTTAACGAAAAAAAGAATTGGCAAAAATAAAGACTGAAGCAAATCTGTTGGCTCTTGAAATATTCAAACTGCGGTGGCGCCATTTTTAAATTCATTTGATCCGATATCTGGGCTAAAACTCAGCCTGCATTCCTAAAGTGTGTTTGCTGCAAAAAAGATCAGAGGAACTTCATCTCATTCCATTTAACATTAAAAACAAGAAAGAAAAAACATCTTGAATCTTTTCTTAAAGTTTTTTAACCCATTCAGACCCTCAGACATGCAGCCGCTGTTGGTGCTGTACGAAATAACTAGACATTTTAAAATGGATTATATTTACATCAAAACATGAAGGGAAGATACAAGTAGTTACGTTTTTTTAGCTTTTGAATAAAAGAAAACTTGATTTATGTACTTTTATCAATCAATAAGTACATAAATAAGTGTATCATGTCTTCTTTTATTCGGATTAGGTTCACATCATTGCCTTAAGCTCCAAAATCAAAGTTTTTAATCCTGACTGCTCCAAAACAAAACAAATAATTTCCATGATCTCAATCAACATTGATGCCATCATTTTTTCTGGAAGCCTGCCTCTCTAAACAGAGATGCTCTGTTTTCTGTGGTATGCCTACAGGGAAAAGCGATTCGACTTTGAAGGGAAGATTATAGAAATGTCTCTGAGGAACCCTGGAACGGATCAGAACCGATTCCTTTTCATGTGCCAGTGCTGCTCTCTTTGTTTCTTATTTTTAGGTATTGGTAAATATGACGAATGAATCCGACTTAGTTTTTTCCCAGTCCTTTCAGTACCAGTAACTGTTGGAATACAGACAAACGTTCAGATTTTAATAGCAGCTTTGTTGGATTTTAACCGTCTCTGAAACGTTTCTTGTTCAGTGAAGAGATTCAAAAAAGAATCTCAAACTAAAGTTTCCTTTTATTCTTCATCTGAGCCACCAACCTTACACCTCTCCCACCATCATCATCATCATCATGTTGATGTCTGGTCAGACTCCTTCTGATTGGCTGATCAAGTATTCTGGGGTTTGTGTTCGGGCGGGTAGAGGCTGCCTGGGAGAGGGGGAAGAGGACGGGTGGTGCTGGTGGCGCCCTCTGAGTGAGGTGTTGTTGCCATGGTGATGGTGGGGGCCATGCGGGGAGGAGGGAGGTGGCGGGGTGGGGTCACGGAGAGATGGAGGGACGGCGGAGGACTTGATAGGGATGATGCGCGTGTCCATGACTTCGCAGTCCACCTGCATCATCATCTCGTAGCCCTGAGACGAGTTGTAGAGACTCTCTGAGGAGGATGAGAGCAAAAAGTTAATCAATGAGGACAGTAATGGCATCACTTATGGTTCTTCAGATGTTTGAGACGTTCTCACCGTTAACGGACATGGCCGGCATCACCAGAGACATTTTAGGCCGGGTGGTTTTGTTGTGGCTGATGGCAGGAAGTAACAGGTGGTCCTGTAGAAAGGAAACATTTTCATTGGTTATTATTTGGCATTTAAAATAAAAACTCAACTTGTTGCTGAAATATTTTCTTACCCTCCTGAAAGACACAACGTAAAAGGTGTCCTCTCTGCGGTCGATGGCGTCCAGGAAGTCGCTGTAAGTAACCTCTGGACCGGGAAGAACCCTCAGCTGACTGCAGAGGAACCAAACGAGATCAGAAAAATTAAACTCTGAAAAATCTGTTCACCAATTAGGACTTTAAGAAAATACATGTGAGAAACATGTTTGTCTGACATCTTAGAAACTTTAACAAAGTTACTGTTCAGAGACTAATTCTGCGTAACTACAGAGAAAAACCTTTTTATCTAAATACATTTATTACCGTTTTTACTAAATCTTATTGCCCAACAATAAAATTAGGCACCAGTCGTCAAGTTTAGAAGATATCTGGTTTCTAGTCTCAGAATAGAAAAACATCTCTGATTTTTACTCATCAGAAAATGATTTTCAGAGCCTTACCAAGACAAAAGAGACCATACTGACTTGAAGGCTGAGATTAAGCCAACAGCTTAACTGAATAAAAAATAACTCAAGATTAATATTTGCAAAACTTGATCTTCCAAAGTAGTATTTAAGTTTATAAAGTAAAAAAAAAACTACATCATATTAAATAGCATTTTATTGTACCTTTCTATAGAGCGGTGAGCCTGGATTGGCAGATATCTGGAGATGTTTGCCTTTCTTAGCTGAGCTTTCTGTTTGGAAAGAAAGACAAAAACAATCAGATTAGCATAAAAAAATATATATTTTTAAAAAAGGTATCAGAAATAAATGCTCTGTAAAAAAAAAAAACTTTATAAACAAACCCTGTTAAAGTGTAGTAATATATCTTGCAGTGCCTCCATGTATTATCTTAAAGTAAAATAATATTTAAAACAGAAAGCATCTATATCTGTTTGCAGGCATTTCTGCTAAATTTTAATCTTTTAAATCTTTCTGCTTTAGCTTTCATGTTTTTAAATTTTAAGTGTCTTCAGTGTTTCTTGTAAAATGTTTGACAACCAAAAGTCTGTTTTTGTCTTTGCTCTAGATATTTAATTGTCTTTTTTTTTTTTTTTAAATAAAGTGGTTAAATAAAGTTTTTAAACCGATACATAAAAAAAATAAAATCAGATTTATGGACATTTCTCACCTGAGTGATCTTTGCTTTTTTCACTGTCTTTGGTTTTCCTCCAGACTTCTTCCGGTCGATCTGATGCCGATGAACCCAACCTCTCAGCTCATCTGCAAGCCTGGAATGACAGATATCTCTTCAGTTTAATCTGTTTAATGGTTTGTAACCGCAATGAAACTAGCCTTACTCCATTTTAAGATATTTATTAGACAGGTTCTGTATAAAAGATTTCTTGCTTATTTTATTGACATCAT